TGTTGCTTGTTGATGCAAATGGAATTGTTGAAGGCATGGTATCTTTATAGGTATCTGGCTTTTTACCTTTATCAATATTAGTCTGTTGTGAGTTGGTTTGTATGATTGGGGTATAGAAAGGTCCTGAAGTTGTGAAGTGATAAATTTTTAGGAAAATATAAATAGTATGATAATAGAATATTTTTAGAAAAATCTTTTTACCTCTAATATTATCTAAGGTAGATTGTAATTGAGTGATTCATATATCTTTAGAATTAAAATTTGAAGATGTTAGTGTAGAGATACTTTCATTAGGTTTATTAGATATTGGTTTTTTATATAGTTGGTTAGTTGAGCTAGAATGAGTATTGAATTTTTCAGCGATGTGTTCAAGTTCTTTTTATTGTTTATATTTATTGTTTTAGGTTGAATTAGAGTTACTTAGGGATGTTGATTGATTAGGTGGAGTAGGTAATTCTATTCGATTGTTTCACAAAAAATAAAAGCAGAGTTTGCAAGAGGAACAAGTTCGTCACCAACAGAAAATATAAGGTGATGAGTTGTTGCTTCTGCAACGCTATTGTGGCGGTTATGAAGTAGATATTTACATAGTATGGTGGTCGAAGACTGATTGCCAGTGACACCATTATAAATATCTCATTTCAATCTAAAGATACCTTGTCCGTTTTCAGTTATTGCTGGGTCTTGAATGGGAGGGTTAAGAATCCAAAAGCTGGAGCTATAGAAAGATTATAAATAGTAGGCTCGTCACTAAGCGACGAGATGTTTAAAGGGACATATTGATTGATTGTTATTTAGTAAAAAGTATTGTAATTAGGGTGAATGATAAAAGGCGTTATTATGTTGTTTTTAATTTTTACAGATTATAGGATAATAATAATTTATTACGTTTAATTCATTTTTTCAATAGCAAATTGCCTAATAATTAGTGCTATATTTTTTTTAGATATATCTTCAATTAAAGATGTATACTCCATTCGAAATGCTTTGAATTTGTACTCAATAAATTCATCATCTCCTGCTCTATAAATAGCAACACTGGTAGTATATTTATTAGATGTTGAGTTGTCTTTGACGAAGAATACAGTGGAGAACATAGAAGCCATTTTTTGTATAGGAAGTATTAAATTTATTTGTTATTATATGAATAATATTGTTTTTTAATTTTTTGATTAAAAATATTCGTACTCGTCTTTTTATTTATAAAATTTTTTTTCAGATAATAAGTTTCATTTTTTTAGGTTAGTACATAATTTTTTTTGTTTGATATTGTTCTATGTTATTTACATGATTTAAAATTGATCAAATATGTTTTAGTTATTTATTTATTTAAATTGACGAAGACAGTGCTATTATTAATAGACGGTAGTTAAATATTTTTATTGGTTATTATTATAATTTAATTAATTGCAGTTCTTTTATTAGTTATATTAGAATTCTTTAATATTATTACTAATCGATGATATATATATTTTTTTATAATTAATCTGGTGAACGTGAGAAAAAAAGATAGAATATTATAAATGCAAATTCGTAGATTAATTTATATTTAGCAGGATAATACTTTTTTTTGGTATTATATATGGTACGAATTACTGAGATTGAATTTAGTGTATCATTTAAGTAAGTGCGAGATGATGTAGAATACAATTTTTGGCGAAGAACATTAATTCACCATATTTACCATACCGCACTGCCTTTAGTACCTGGTATGATACGATTTTTTACATAGTGAAAAATTAAAAGTCACATGTGTTACACAATTGTTTACATCACATATCACGCATAAATAATATTGTAAAAAATTGATTTGCATTATTTGTCACGCCGGATACTAAAGGCAGTGTGGTACGGTAGTTTAGATTAATAGATAAACTAACTGGAGTAGAATACTCATTAAGTGATAATTATTCTTGAAGATAAGAAATAATAATTTGTTTGTCTTATATAAAGTAGTAATTTTCTAGAATTATATGTAGTTTTATTAGTTAGTAGCTAATTCTATTTTAATATCTTAGTATTGTTTTATATTTATGTCTAGTCACTTTTCAGTAATTTTTTTAATCTAATAGTATTTAAAATTTTAATATTAAAAAAAATAATGATTATTAATCATTTAATAATTAATTCAGAAATAGACTAGAATGTAAAATTTAGTCAAATTTTTTTAAAAAAAAATAATTATTAATCATCTAATAATTAATTCAGAAATAGACTAGAATGTGAAATTTAGTTTTTTTTTTTTTTTTTATATAAAAAAACCTTGTATTCGACAAGCGAAAATTTTTTTTTAGCGAATAGCAACGTATTTCTACTCATCTAGTAATGCTTAGTATCACTAAGAAAAGTATGCTAAGAGATAATATGAGAGTTTTTTTACAATCGGTTTAGCTATGTAACTTAGAATTTCTATATAAAAAAACTCTTTTTCCAAATTAATAAGCAGATCGGTATCTTATGTTTTACTATTTGCTTTAGAAGAGAAAAAACTATTGCACAAACTCTAACGATTTTAACTTAGTGCTAAATATAATAGGAGGGACCGTTCCAAGTATGCTCCGAGTTTGCAGATCATTACACAAGTGATTCAATTGATTTAAAGTTTTTTTTATATGAGTTACAATACTTTTTTCGGAAGCTCAGGTAGATTATCTCATCTTTAAAGCAGGCCAAATGTTCTAAATTAACTTGAAGTTTTTGTACTGTTCTTTAACAATATCAGTTGAATCCTTTTGAATCTCTCACCCTTCATATTATATTTTACCTACCAAAGTTACAAGTGATTAACAATCACTATGTTGGGAAAATCTCATTCGTTAAGCAAAAAAACATAAAAACAAATGTAAAATAACGA